ACTTTTTCCAAATCCATTATGTGTTAATTTATTGTTACTGGCTCTAACTTGTACAGAGATTGAATGCCTAATGAATCAGTAAAAGCGTATGCAGAAAAAGGAATTCCAAAACTAAATTGCTTTAATTCTGTACAGGGAATGGTTGACGTCTGCAGACTTTATACATGGTACGTACTACGTCCAGCCAGTACGAACAACAAACGCTGCACTGAGCTTAGTACAGTAGTTGTGAAAGGATGGATGGTAAGTTGAAAGACTATAAGTCCTTTTCCACTCTAGTCTTTCATCAGTGTGGCCGATACCGTACTGAGTACTGAGTAGTACGTCAGTGGCAGGTCCATGGTTCAGTCATAACGCAATCGATAAACCCTACTGGGAGCTGTACTACATTGTACTGTTTGAGTTCGTCTACTTTCCAACTCTGTACCATGTCGTCCGTGGCATGGACTTGCATCAGTCAACTTGACTCAACTCTGCCTTCCCCCCGTTTGCTGTCACTGGCTTCAACTTGCTAATGCAGTCGCCTGGTGTACACTGTACACTGCCATGTCATGAACTGCGATACTCGACCGTGAAGTTCACACATACAGTACAGTGTACTGTACAGTACATGAGAAGAGAGGAATTCACCGAACAACGATACAGTACTGTACAGTGTACTGTACAGTATACTGAGTGTACTGTACGTCATTCCATCTGTCTTTCACTGCACAGTACAGTGAAAACCAACTCGCTACAGTACATACTTTCAGGGGGTGACAATTGGGTTTGTAAAGGCTGTACAGTACAGTACGTATTTCACTCACCCACAGTATTTTGCTGTCACTGGCTTCAACTTGCTAATGCAGTCGCCTGGTGTACAGTACACTGTACTGTACTGTACACTGCCATGTCATGAACTGCGATACTCGACCGTGAAGTTCACACATACTGTACAGTGTATAGTACTGTACTGTACGTCATTCTATCTGTCTTTCACTGCACAGTACAGTGAAAACCAACTCGCTACAGTACATACTTTCAGGGGGTAACAATTGGGTTTGTAAAAAAAGATGCTTCATACAGTATAGTATAGATTATTATTATTAACAATACGCTAATACCGTACAGTACGTTACTGTGTACTGTGTGCCTATACAGTATTACAGTATTATTATTATTAATCAAGTTTAATGTTAATAAATTTAATTTTACTTTTACAAAAGGTTAATATTATATTTTTATTTGAGCTTGCTCTGCCCCCCCTCCCCCCTTTTGCTGTCACTGGCTTCAACTTGCTAATGCAGTCGCCTGGTGTACACTGTACAGTACACTGCCATGTCATGAACTGCCATACTCGACCGTGAAGTTCACACATACTGTACTGTACAGTGTCTGTAGTGTACAGTACTGTACTGTACATGAGAAGAGAGGAATTCACCGAACAACGATACAGTACAGTACAGTACTGTATTTCACTCACCCACAGTACTGTACTGTACTGTATAATAATAGGAATTAATTATTATTATTATTAACAATACAAATGCCGTACTGTACGGTACTGTGTAGTGTGTACTGTACTGTGTGTCTACACTGTACACTGTACAGTATTACAGTTTTATTATTATTAATCAAGTTTACTGTTAATAAATTTAATTTTACTTTTACAAAAGGTTAATATTATTTGAGCTTGTTCAATATTCAAAGTAACACAGTTGAACAGTGAATACTACACAAGTAGCCCGAAACTGAAGCCCTCAAAGCTATTCAATGCAGTCTAGAAATAGCCACACGAGTATACTGTACTGTATATAGCAATCACATCTCTGATTTCTCATCATTCCAAATGTGGCTGTATCGTCCTCGACTGTACTGTACTAAAATTTTGCAAGCCCGCTTTTTTCCCTGGCTTCGGTCTTTCCACATTCACCTGAATGAATAGTTGATACTGTACTGTACTAGTGCACATCTGAGGATCGTATTGTAGTCACAATTCCTCACGACGGATCAACACTTTGAACGACACGCACGTCTTAACCTCATCTCACCTACTGTACTGTACAGTACACTGTACAGTACAGTACAGTACAATATTGCAGAACACTATTCTGGCTGTACTGTACACTGTACAGTATGGAGCAGTGCATGCGCAGAACACCGGCATGAACTGTACTGTACAATACTAGAAGTTTTTGTCGAAATTTGGAGTACGGTACTGTACTGTACACCCGTTGTGTAAAACTGTACCTTGTACAGTACAGTACAGTACAATTCTGAACAATTGTATTACGTCAGTATTTCATGCGGGGTGGTCGACTAAAGAGCGTGCTGTTCAGGGGCGATGCTCCCCTACTGTAGCAAGATCACACTTTTTCTCAACCCTGCTATGACTGCATAGTATATTACTGTACTGTACCCCAGGGCGTCCGCCATGACCCGACCCACTGGCTGACTTTGGCCCTCACTACAGTTCATATAGGCAAAGGAGACGATTAAGTACCCTAGCACTAACAACTGCCCTACCCAAAGTTGTCAGCAAAATACGAAAGTACATCATTAGTTATACGATAATTTGGAAGAATCGTCCTTAGCTTATTGCGCCAATTGGGTTTAACGATCTTCTACAGGTAAGTTGAAATTGCCACATGATTGATCTGGACTCATTCTGTATGTTTTATTGAGTCGTTAATGATGCTATTGAAATGGAACGAATAGACATGGTGCGTTTAGTTTGAAGTTATTTTTTTCCTTTATCTTCATACTTGGATGATATAGTCGTGGATGAGCGGCGCATACCGCTCACTACTGACAGTAGTATAGACTGACGTAGCTAGAGACACCCTATTGTATTGCTACACATAGTAGGAATGGACATGAGGAAATAAAGCCATGGCAGATACTATGGCTGTAATTCTTGTCTGAATCATTGGATAATCAATGATCGCTGATATGGACATGGCGACATCTTTTACGTCCATCTTCATCTTCAATTCAACTATCTAGTTGAACAGGAGTCATGGTATGGAGAAGTCATTTCCATCCTGTTGGAGCAATGACCATTGCCCTGATAAACGTGTTGTCACACCGCACGGGTAGCTTCCCAACTTTTTCACTCTACGGTCAAGAGCATATTTGTATCTATCGCAGCCAGTAGTAGATCGTCTAGGGAGGCAAACAGAAAGTAATTTATCTTCATGACTAGACTACGCAGAATAGTATAGACGCTTTTTGAACTAACTGTTCGTTCATTCTCCTTTCCACCAAGACAAGGATCGATCAAGTATGGTACTTGATCGATCGATTAGTCATTGCATGATCAAATTGTCATTCAGTGCAATCACACTACACTAGCAGGGACGAGCGTCTGATCCAATGGAGCCGGTTCCTTCAACCAATTCGTGGACAATTTTATTTTCATTGAAAGATATCTTGTTAATGCTAGGATACTACCCAATTAATTTCACTGCCAATGTATTAGTTCTAGTATTAGTTTGCTTTCATCTTGCAATATCCAATAGTATACTCATTTTCTTCATGAAAATCGACGACGCATTGTAGTATTGACGTACAGCCTAGTAGACTACTGTACAGGCCATATACGACGCAAGCGGCAGATGTAAAGTCAATTTTACAATCAACGAACAGATTGCTATTGGTCAATCAATTCTATCATTAATGTCATAAAAATCATCGACGTAAGCTGTACTATTTTATTTCGGGGAATTTTCAATTCTTTCATTATCAATTACTATACGATATCGCTGTTGTTGTCGCTTTGAATTGAAAATGTTCTCTAATTTTGGCACTTGTTTTGCTTATAGGAATTCATCACCAATAACATTCGATGGCTTCTAGAGGGCAACCTCAACGTCCTAATGGTAGTGGACAATCTAAAATATGCCAATTCAAGTTGGTTTTATTAGGTAATTCATTTTTCTACGCGAAAGCGCTATTGTACCAAGAGGAGTTTTTTAAACGTGATATATAAATCCTAAAATCTACTATAAACACACAGTATGTCAATAGCCGACGACAATCGTGTCTTTCGCAATATCGGAAGACGATACTCGATAAGTGAAATCTTCTTATCATCATACGAGTTGGAAGATTGCCTTCCTTTATGCGTAGCTTGATGCTTCCGCATTTGGATAGTACTCCCCCATTAAACTTCACGCTGATCGACAGAATGATGAACCATTTTCCCCATCATACTCATAACGTCCACTGCATATTGCAATCGTACCTTCATATTCATACGAATAATAACCAGCATAAATTTCGAAAGCATGCAACTGTCTGAATCGTATTAATTCTATGCTTTCGTTATTTAATCATAATCAAATTTGAATATATTCTAGTCTAAGTGATGAATGAATATTTTACCACTACTATACTTTATTATCAGACGTATGCAGTTCGAACTTGGAATACGTCTTCAACCTTAGTTCTATCGTGATGATCATAACTGTTATTTTAGTATGTTGTTTTATGTAAGTTCACGTGCGATATAGAGACTCTAGACTTTAGAGTGAAAGTTACGTTCCCATAGTGTTTAACGCTAGCATTTTTTATGACGTCACACTTAAAATTAAAACTGAAGACAACATTGACTAGAGTATTGCATACTACAGCATACTACAGAATTGTATGAAAACAGTAAACATCCTGTCTCATCGATCTCAAACAAGCAAGGGGAATGGATCATGATGGCTGCACAAGATCAATCCTTTTTTAAATTTAATCGTTACTTACATTTACTGTACACCCATTTGGATGGTAAATTAAAAGATGTAATTGCTAGAAAAAGAATTTTTCGCACTTTTTCTATCGGTGTACACATTACTATTTACCTTGATAAATAGCAAAAAGAAACTATTTCAGCATTGATTTTCCTCTTTTGCTTACTTGATAATTTGTAAAATTTTAAATTTTATAAATTTATCCTATGTGAATTATAATATGTATAAATATTGCGAATTCTATCGGCCGAAATATCAGATGCCTCAGTAGCATGGGTGATATAAAAATTCGAATTATAAAGGTTCTGAATTTTATGAGTTTATCAAAGATAAATTATATTATCTTAAGCACGTATATTGCTCACTCGCATAAGCTGGCCGGTAGTAAAATGTCATAAGGTACATGTTCTACTACTGTAGAATCAATTAAAAGTGACACTGAGAGTGGTTACATTTGTCTGATCATATTATTCCAATTCGTATATTCTGCGATCTCAGCAATATAATTTCAATTTATTCTGCTAAAATTGTATAGGTGTGTCTACATGGCTTATAATGGCTATAATTTTTAAATAAACAGATAAATATTATATCTAGTGAAAGCTGCGTACAGTAATCGATTGGTCCTTAACGCATTGCATTCTTAGCAAAGACGAAAACATAAACTACTTGCAATTTTTATGCAGTGCGTGATCGTATTACGTAATATAAACCCGCTTAGAAGATATCTGTAGTTGAACTTAGAACGTTCTTATACAATACTTTAACTATATTTGGGGTTGCCCTCAAAACCTGTATTACTCATGGTCGGAATTACGTTCAATCGATTTAAATCACTCGCGGTAGACTTTTTATACGTATACAGGATATAAATTACACTATCGACAAGATTCTCTCGATAATGATTAAAATTAAAAATAACGTATAATAATCATTAACGGTTTATCCAAGTTTGATCCTGTAGCGTAATTTTATATACATGTATACAAGGGAATGAATTAATTTATGCGAGTTATGGTCGTTAAATTTACGCTATTACAAAATATGCGAATTCGAATACTTCAAATTGCCATATAAGAAATATAAGCGGCGAAATTAACATAATATTGTGTATTTGATAGGTGAATCTGCTGTTGGCAAATCAAGCTTAGTCTTGCGATTTGTTAAAGGTCAATTCCAGGAATATCAAGAAAGTACTATAGGAGGTAAGAAAAGTTCTTCCATTTGGAGAAATTACACTATCCATGACACAAAGATGAAACTGATTTAATTACTCAATTTAATCGAAAACATTACGTACTAAAATAATTCTACACTACTGAAAATATGTTAGACTAATGGTTGAAGTGTATAAACAATTTTAATCATAACATTAATGATATGATTATTACTTCTATATAGCTGCCTTCCTTACGCAGACGGTTTGTTTAGACGATGTTACTGTCAAATTTGAAATTTGGGATACAGCTGGACAAGAAAATATCTTTTTGATACTTCCATGTTGCGATTCTGTTCTCTTAATTTATATCTACAATTATGAATAGATCAACTTTATAATTCAATTCCTTGACAGCATTTTGTCGATATTTACGATATCATAGCTTGGCCCCTATGTACTATCGTGGAGCTCAGACTGCAATTGTTGTATATGATATATCCAACGCGGTAATATATATAAAGCAATAGCGACACCATCGAATTTGAATACTAATAATTATTCCTATCCCAATCCATTGTAGGAATCATTTCAACGTGCAAAAGCATGGGTTAAGGAATTACAACGTCAAGCTAGCCCTAACATCGTAATCGCATTAGCTGGTAACAAGGCAGATTTGGCTAATAAAAGGATGGTTGATGCTGATGTAAGAGTTAAAATCAATAATCATAAATATTATGATTCAGTTTTCACGCTAAATATTATATCTACTGTATGATTAACCATAGGAGGCACAGGTTTACGCTGAAGAAAATGGGCTATTGTTTATGGAAACCTCCGCTAAAACTGCTATGAATGTAAACGAAATATTTTTAGCTATCGGTAAGGACTACGTACTGAAAACCTCAACTAAGTGATCAAGTAATAATTTACAATCTTCTTTTTAAGCCAAAAAATTACCAAAATCTGAGCAAGGTGGTGGTGGCGCTGCTACTCAAGGTGGTGCGCGTGTTGTAGATATTAACAAACCTGCAAATAATTCTGGAGGAGGTGGTTGTTGTAAATAAGTTATCAATGACGAAAGTACAAGGCTATCTATAGGGAGAGTAGATTGACGATAAATTTATTTCATATGGACAGTTTGCCTTATGCTGTATAATTTTCTTTCTTCGAGTCTCGGTTTCATGTAGCGAATGGATAGCTATATACCTATTCCTGCGGATATTATAGTAAATCTACGGTGTTAGTGATAAAATAGGCAACCTAAAATTCGTATGCGTGCTTCACTTGAATGTATGGTTCTTCAATAACTAATTAATTATATTAGATACTATAATAATACTGGAAGTGATGTTATAAACGGATTTTGCTATCTTACTACTAATTAAAGTAAACAGTCACACATACTATAAAAATTGTAACAGGTAAGATCATACTTGTGCTATAGTTGTAAGTCCTACTGTTCAATATCAAATACCTATTGTAGTCATTACTAAAATTAAAATTTATAGTAGCGCTACCTTGACCTATTCTACGCATTTCATTACAATTAATATACTGTATGACTATCTTAATAGCTGTCTAATATGAAAGTGTATTACCCAATGTTGTTATTGGGCTTCTTAATTGTATATCGAAATTAAAGTTACATTTTTTTAATTGTCATTCAAATGTAAGTGTTGCCAAGAATCTTTCTACTGCCGTAAAAATTCAGTATATTGTAACTGTCTCAATGTAATGATTGGTAATCTGATTAAGATACTGAGGAAATAAAATTGAATACCAAAAATTGGTACGTCACCCGTACTACTTATAAAAATAGTATACTTAACGTTAGGACAACAATATCAGATTCATAAATGGTGTTAGTATTTTATTTAATACTCGTTTGACCTTCATTGATCTAGCTCCTGATGTACAGTAAATTAGATTCAGCTCGGAAAGAGTTGATAGTAACAATTTTAAATATGCCCGTAAATTAATATTGTACAGCGTAATTTTACTCTACTGTATATCATGAAATAATATCCAATCGAAAAGTCTGGCCAGCGAGTCTTTAAGATTTGCTGACTTGTTAGATGTTATAATGATACGATAATAGATCCACAATAACGCATTAACTGCATAGATGCATAGAGTTGCTATATCGATAGTAGCAAACAGCCCGCCTCAAACTACCGTATCATTGCCCATTATACAGTACAGAAGAAAGAAGGCATATGTAACTATACGATACATGCGCCCATGTATTCGCTAAATTGACATTACAATACTCAAATGTCGTTAAACATATCGTATTTACAGGAGTAGTTCATGGCATTTAGTGATTCGCGTAATTACATAATTTCTTCATGTTGAATCGTATGCATAAAAATTGTTACTGCTATTTACCATCAACACCAAATATTATCTGAAACATTTCACCTAAATCATGATCTTGTAAATATTGAGAAAATTGTCCCAAATCCATATGATAATTACGACCTCCATGAACACTAAAAGCTACTTCTTCAAAAGATGTAAACTTTCGCTGTAAAGTATAGCTATCTTCACGATGCCTTGAAGTAATTCTTTTCCAATTCAGCCGTCGCAACCTAGCGAAATAATCCGATACAGCTTTTTCGTCGCCTTCAACACACAAAACGCCTGGCTTTCCGGGGAGACAAAACCCTATGTAAATTGAATACGATTAACTTCAGCTAGTGGCTGTGATTTCAAAGACTGGATCTTATGAGAATTACTATATAAAATACAACTATAATCCAAATTCATATTATTTGTCCTCCAAAATGACAGCGCCTACAGTATGTTTTATCTAACAGTGCAAGCGTTGTATATGAGCTCGATCAATTTAGACTAATAAGAAATCGAATAAGCAAAGGATCTACAATGACTGCTACAGACTTGCAGTATCATGGTAGTATCGCTACACGTCAATACTCAGATCATAAAGACAACTGAAACGCAGTTAATGCACGTACTAATACAATTTTATATGAATTAGTAAATAAATTATTTTTATTTACCAGTAAGATTTAGCTCCTCTGCCCATTCAACTATGACTTTACGCTTGGTTTTGCTGTAAATATGATGCATATACAATAATAATCGGCTTAATTTGTTATCGCTTTCCGCTGAGATGGGTTCTTTTGGCAATGTTTTACTTGTACAGGCTGCACTATGGCTGATATAATTTGATAAATTTTCCTGTATCCACTGCAAAGTAGGTACAATGCATAATTCGCCAAGACCAATCAATTCATCAACATGTTCTCTTAACTTCGTATTAAGATCCTTTTGTTCATCTCTTTGTAGTATATCACATCTGACGAATACTTCCGGTGTAACACTCGGATACTCATGTGGAAAATTGCAATACAGTTCAATTAAAATTGGATCCTCAGTATCCAGACTGGCATCTTGCTCAATCCAGTTGATTTTAACAGTGAAAGCGATATTTACAGGAGCTGGTCCATCGTGATCGAGATAATTACGAACGTCTTGCACAATTAGCGGATTATCGAGCACGATTGCTCCTTCTTCAGGATACATTGCTTGCAACATTTCCATTTCGGATAATTGTAATTCTAAATTTTGTTCCATCATCATATACAGACATCAAGAACTGATGACTACGTACTTCCAACTCGTTAGCGAAGTGATTTACTAGACAAAACAGTGAACTAATATGGCTATGCAATCAGTGCAATTAACATGGTGAAGATATTTTATGATGGCATCCAATTAGTTACAGTCATCATAGACTACCACTACTACAGTACATGGTGATGGTGTAGTACTGTACAATGTACAGTACTCAGGTTTACAGTACCTGATTGTGACATACAGTACAGTACTGTACTGTACGGCACTGTACTGTACTGTACCTACAGTACAGTACACTGTAAGCAAGAACACTACTGTAATAATATCCCACTAAGGCCATGTTTGCGACATATTCCAGTTACCTACAGTATGTAAACTCTTCTCCAAATTTGAATTTTCAATTAACTTGGAAGCCTACCTTCTTTTAAGCCCAAGATATTATTAGTTTCCTCTATAATTAAGTTTTCAAATGAATTTAAAAGCCTCGCATATTACGCTTGAAATTGTCTAGGCACAAGATATAGTTTAGCGATTATAATTAAGTTTTCCAATATATTTGCAAGCCTAGCAACTCATACTTGAAATTCGTCTACGAGTATTATATCCCGTATAATTTTAATAGACATAATTCGTTTCCTCTAAAATTAAAATTTCCAATGAACAATAAATTAGAAACCTAGCATATTTCGCTTGAAACTGTATAATCCAACGTATTATTATTATTTTCACGGAGAATGAATGTTATTAATTTTCGCTGTATTTTTATTTATAACCAATTCATGCTTCGAGATCACTAAGTTAATTTAAATGAAAGATGTTACGAATTGACCGCTTCTACTTGAAAAACTACAAACCTACATATAGGGTTCTGAAAAATTGACCCTGATTGGCATGTGTCTAGTTATAGATGAAGCTTGAGGCCATTAAGTTGAAGCTTAATGAAATAGAAGAATTGGTGTTACAAATTTCATATTTATGCTTATCAAATGACGAAGCTAAAGGTAAAGCCCTACGTTAGGCAAAAACTGACCCTAATTGAGAGATAACTAATTGCAGATCAGCTAGAGAGCAGAGATCATATCTTATTATAAAGCAATCAGGAATCAGTCATCATTCTACCGTAAAATTTATATACTTATATTCTCGTACTAGTATAGTACGGTAAAAAATCTCTGACAACGTTCGAGAATTTCCTGAAATTATAACAAACAATAACTTTCTTCTTCTGCTTTCTATTCACAATCAGTACGCGAATACAATCCAAAGCGGAACTAGTTTATATATAGTTCGTTTATACAAATTCAGAGAGGATGATTAAAAATGGTGCAAGAGCGACTAATTGCAATACAGGATATTTCTTAAATGCGATCCTTATAATTTTAAATGATATCAGCAAAAAGGAAGGGGCATACGAAAATGCGAAGCACAAAGTAGTTCAAGAAAGTAAAAAAAATGGATGTCAGATACCACCACATTTATATTTCAAAAGGCATTAATTCACGGACAATACTACAAAAGTAAGTGCTTTGAACTATTTCATGAGGCTAAATTTAGACCATACTTTCAATAACATACTTATATAAACTAAACGATGAGAAAGATTATTTAACTGCTACTAGTACTAAGGTAGGCTAACCGCTGAGTAATAGGAAAGTAGCTTTCTATCGGCGCAGAGAAGTAAGTAATTAATGATATGTGTGGATTACTCGATCGCGTTAATTTAACTTAAATTGAACAAGATATCCTATTATACGTACAACATCATCATCATTCCCTCTTCCCTTATTGTCACTGTATTGTCGTTATCATAATTCAATATCCTAAAATTACAGTACGTGAATGCTTGACACTAGCTGTTATATTCAATGCTGATTTAGTCTTTATGCTCATCAATAAAACTAGATAAGACAAGGGCTACATTCAACAATTTATTTTATTAAATGCATGTAAATTACAACTGTTCCTCGTGTAGTTCAGCAACAGCATGATGCCATGACTTTATTTGGAATAGAAGAATATCCTAACAGACTATTATGACGTCAAAAAGTTCATTCAGTAACAGGTAGTAGTGCCGGCTCCTGACTGAATATAAATGATCAGTTTTACTTTGTTATGGAAATGACCAACGATGGAGATAGAGTGTAAGATAATGAGACTATCCGTGATTGACATGAGTCACAAGGTTATAGATGTCCATAATATACGCGTTTCGTATACGTATATATTGTTAGATTTATTCTTACTCGATCTATTCCATCACCTAGTGTTGTATCATACTTCCTTCTATTCATATATCATGTATTTGTTTTTATAGAATTAATCGCTTAGTGTTTTAATCTAGTTACCATCGATTAATTTCGTTTACATCATTAGTAGATCATATAAACTTATTGTAAACTAACGTATGAATTTTGATATCCATGATGACTGAATCTCATATTAGAAGTATTTCAGTTACTATGGCAGTAAGACTGATGACAGCTGATACTTTAATATAAGATAGATTCGGTTTATTTCTAAATAAGTAACGTACACATTGACAACTACTTAACGCCAAAATTCAGTACATAATAAGTGACTGAAAAAAATATGGAGGGTGAATTGTTAAGTCCATTGCTTCTAGCATCAAAAAACGGCGACGTGCAACAAGTTAAACAACTATTGAGTACTGATCGTGATTTGATTGAACAACGAGATAAGGTTAGTAAGAAAATCGGTACTCGTTTATGGCTATATTTAATTATCACGTCAACAAAGTAAAGTGCAAGCTAATCGCTATCACTGATTGATGCTTAATCGTCTGCTCTATTAACAACATTTACCAATGCAAACAGGAATGATAGACTGTGGTTATACTTACATGTCCAGTCCGATAGTAGTCCTTGTTACTACAAGATATCTTGATTAAACTATCAAAAAAATTTAGCTATATATTGAATTTTATTACTAAGAGCTAAAGTTATACATTTGACAAGAGATGATATCTTGCTGGTTCTTAACATCTTCCCCTTTAATTTAAGTGAGTCATCACTCAGCTTATTTCACAGGAGGACATCACAGAATAATAATGCACTTAAGCGATGTTAAAAATAATGGAAATAAATGACTTAAAATGCTACCGGATTGATTTAATATTAAAATTAAATGTTAAACTTAATAGATCAACAAATATAACGCCAGTACTATCTTAGAAGAATATGTAGTAAATAGAAATATACCTTTCTTAATCTATGAAATTTTATCATTGTAAGAGATGTAAGAAATCTTTCTATTGATTTAACTTATTTCTGTATGTAATCTTCATAAAGCCTTAATTAGTAACATAATTGTCTAATGCCGAGTTGTTTACAATCTAAATGAAAATATTAGACAGATTTGTAATCCGTAATCGTTTTTAAATATGAAATATGAAGTCAGTGTTAATCACTCATTTAGTTGTTTTAAACCAGTAAGGCTATACACGTTTATAGATTACTCACAGTTTTATAGACAATGAAAGTTAGCTTAGAATAGTCTAGGAGTATATGTTAGCGTTATATTAGCGTCTCTGGACTCTTTATGAAAATAAGCCCCATTGCACGTATCACTCTTTAAATAACAAGTTATAAAGTGTATTTTAGAGAATTGCAGAAGGCTGAGTCAGAAAATGCCCGTAAATTGAGCTCTCCTTCGAAATAAACAACCCTGTTAACAACAATTTTTACACTGATAGCCCAATGAGTCCTATAGTAAATCAATAAAAATTGAAATCTTAAAATGTGACAACTATAATCTCATAACCGCACTCATGTTATTTCTAGGATGGTCGTACTGCCCTACATTGGGCAGCTCATAGCGGAAATGTCGAAACAATCCTCGTACTTTATAATTGTGATTGTAAACTGAATCTTACTACCAAGGTACAGCCTTTTATAAATCTTTAATGTTAACCTAAGTTTTCTGTAATAATAAGTAATGAATAAGTATTATATATACTAGTTTAATGATTAACTCCGTTTTCATTTAATTCGAAATTACATGGTAACAAATATCATCTACATTTTACTTTCAAATTAATTAGACTGGAATACAGCCATTACATGATGCGTGTTTAGCTGGAAACGTTAAAGCTGTACAGTTATTAATTGCTCTTGGTGTCGATCTGCAAGCTAAAATTAAGGTAAAGCAACAATTCTATATTGTGAATTACAAATCATTACAGGTTCTTATTTTATTGCTCTGCATTTAATCTATAAATTCCATTGTCAGCATGGTTGGACTCCTCTTCTTTGTGCTGCTGGCAATGGATATCTAGATATTGTTCATCTATTAATAAGTAGTGGCGTGGACGACGACCTGCAATCTACGGTAGGACGGCAATATGATATCAATTGCTAGAGAGTCGCCGCTTACGTAAAATATTGAATACTGAAAGCTAATCAGAAATTCCCTTTCCATTAGAAATGTGGTGTAAATGCTTTACATATCGCTGCTTGGACTGGTCAAGACGATATTGTAGAATTATTATTGAAGCTTGGTTATGATACCTCAATCAAAAGCCAAGTAATAATTTTACGTATAGGCCTTAATAAAATAAGTAATTGTAATTTGCATGCATATTTATTACTAACCTATAAAATCATTTTTAACTTTATAGTCTGGTAAGAGCGCACTGGAAATGGCGGAAGAAGAAAATCATGAAGATTGCATAGAATTACTACGCAAACATCCTACCGAAAAGGTAAGCATTACCGTTCATAACATTAAAGTTTTATTCAGGAGACCCCTATATTGATGCTATTAAGTCCATACTACTATTTGGAATTATTACCAGAACGTATTTAAGTATAATTTAGTTCTATCTATTGGAAATATCTTTATGTTTCGATTTCATAGAGTACATTATTTTGTAACATCATCATTCTATATTGTATTTTTACACTGCTTGAATGAATAATTAAATTTACCTAGTTTAGGTTAATAGA